TCGACTGAAGATGTAGACACGGCTGGAGAGAGTATGCACTAAGAAATTTAGAATGAAATTAATAGAAATTAATATCTGCAGAAAGCCAGACAAACAACTATTCAATGATTGATAGAAAAGAAACGGGTTACAGAAAAGAAAAGTAGTTGACGTAAAAATGCATACACTGGATTCTGGACAGAAAGAGAGTGTGTTATGATTAACTTGTTGTTAAATTGTCTCAGAATGATATACGACTCTTGCGATGGGGGAATAGGATTTGTGTGTGCGGCTTAAAGTTTATAGTGAAGTTCCTCCTTAGCAGTAGTAACAGTAATAGTAATATTCGTGGTAGCAGAAGCAGCGGTACTTATATCAACGGTGCATGTTAGCGGACCCTTCGTTACAATCTCTGACATCACGTTATCTCCTTGAGTCTCCAACTTGACTCTCAGCTGTCTCTAGCCCAACTCTTGCCTGGGCTAATTCTCTTCCGTCCGTCTCCTTCCGTCCGCCTCTTCCATCTCAACACTCGCCCATCTGTGTTTTTCAGCATAACTACGCGTTTATATAGAAACCAGGCTGGTTACAACTGACCCTTGACCCTACCACTTTGTACACAATTATCATGGGGGGTTCTGGCTGCTTCAACTAAAATCATGTGAATTCCACAGTTCCTTTTAGCTTACTCAGCTCTATTTCAATTTTTAATTGATAAAAATTATTTCGACCATTTCCATTGTCTCCTGATGACCCAGATTCAATGGGTACAACTTCTGCCCTAGATCAAATTTCCACATCAGTAAACAAAATGCTCTGATTTAATTTTGCTATCCAAATCTTCTACAATTTCACAAAAAAAAAAAAAAATGTATGTGTTTCCCAGACTCTCTCTGTCACACCTTAGAAACTAGGAGTGTTAAGTGAAGTTAATCTTTTCACTTTTACCTATATTCAGTGTTCTCTCAATTCATGACAATATGGCAATATTATGTGCTTCAGCATGTTATAAAAAGGAGCAGGGACATTGCAAGGTCATCAGGTATTGTATAGAATTGAAAGCTTAATATTAATCCATTTTTGTCAGATTTTGTTTCAGATCTGTTTATAGTCTTTATTAAGTAGAAATTCAGTGCATACATTTTTTTTCTCATAAAAAATGGTTTAAAATAAATGTATTAGCCAACACGTTTCATTATTCAGCAGTTTCCAAAATAAAATACCACCTATTTTCACTAAATAGCTATATGCTTTATTTCTTGCTGTGAAAATTTTTCTTATAAATTTGTCCATTTTTCAGACTCAAAGTACCTTTTTTGTTTGTTCAAATTTGACTGCTTTTATGTACAGTATCCTTTCAGGATATGGGTGTTCATGGCTCTCCACACCTTCTTATCCTTCATAGATCTTAGCAATGTTCCCACTCCATATTCTGCCAACTATTTACACAAGCTTATTGGCTGTTTGTGTCTCTCTTGCTTTCAATATATCCTGTGAGTGTCAAATTCTACAAGCCCTCTTTCTCATTATGTGTCCCAGAAATTTCAGCTGTGTTTCTGATTCTCACTGTCTTTTTTATGTTTCTATTTCTCTTAAAACTTCCTCATTGCTTACAAACTCAGTCTGTGGCTTTCTCAGCCTCCTTCTGTAAAACCACATCTCTTCAGAAATTGTGTAAGATTTACTGTCACATAAAAAAAAATAGTTAAGAAAGGAAGGCCCCAAATGGCGATCTCTACCTACCCACCCCTAACTTGTACGATAGGGTCCTGTTTCAATCAGAGAAACCTAAACCCCACTACCTACCCTTTAGGCTTGACAGCATTATTGAAATTCACTCCTTCTTCTATATTTGGTCAAGAATCCACCAAAATTTTTCTGGTCTTAATGTATGTCTTTGATAATTTTTTTAACTGTTTATACCTTTCCTTTTCATCCTATTTCTAAATTAATCATTTTTTGATTTTTTTTTATTATTTTGACTTTATTTTTTTCTCCTTGTTTTTGCCATTAAATTTCTGTCTTCAACTGTTTCGACACGTGTGTGAAATGTGTGCACACACGCATTATTTACCTGCACATTAATGTTAATTCTCAATGGCGCTACATTTAATTGAAGTTTTTCCTGTGTGGTAAGCCGACTGTGAGTTTTTTCCAATATCAGGGCTATTGTACAATAGCCCTGATTATTTTGTGAATGGTTTATGGACTGTGCAATAGTCATTGGTAGAGCCTCTCGATGCCATGATGATGGATATTATGTCAGTATCTCCAGACAATTCAATCCAGGTTATTTATGCATGCATCTCCTGTGAGTGTCTCTCTTGCTGCCTAATCGACCAAAACACACATGAAATCGATCAAATTGAAAAGGAATAAAACTAGCAAACCCAACCTCAAAAAAGTAAAAGTAGACCCCATGTATACCATTTCCTACACCAATGTAAGAAGTCTATATTCAAACTTTCCAGAACTCGACCTCCTGTTTCTGTTGAGTATCAATGCCTCAATCCGATTACAGGAGTGCACAATCCTGTGTTACTCACCAATTATAACAAAACCTGACCATCTAAATTGCCACAGACTCGGTGCCTACATCAAGATCAAGTTTCCCTGCAGCAGGAACACAAAAAACAATGATCCTGATCTCCTATATATATATATATATATATATATATATATATATATGCTTTCACATGGCATTTATCCATAGTACCACATTCATCTTTGCTTTGTATCACCCTCAGGATGAAGGATCAGTCATCTTCAATCAAATATCCGAGAGGTTATCAATCCTCACCAAATTTCCCTTGACTAACGTTCATATCTGCAGTGATTTCGATATTCACCACAAAGAGTGGTTAGTTCACTCAAACAAAAACTATTGAGGAAGGCAGATATTCCAGAGGCTTCTCCATCACTTATGAACTAATAACAAAGAACCCACCTGTGTCTCAGTGTGACTGGACAGCAGACAAATCTCCTCAACCTTTTTCTAACATCCTGCCCTGCTAAATGCTTAGAAAAGTTTTACCCCCCCTCCCCCAAAAGGCATCCAACAATTGACATACTTTGATTTACCATTCCATAGAATATTTTTTTCTCTATGCAAAGGCAGACAAGGACAGCTTTTGAACCTATATGATAGAAGCTCCTCTCCCAACCTTTTTCAAGCATGCTGCCCTCAATACTGCTGCCCTTGTCTCTGAATGGATCCTTTCTAGAATAGTGTTTTATACCCCCAAAAAATTTTCAACAAAAACCAGTCAGCTCTGGTTCATCCCTGAATGTGCTGTAGCCATAACTCACCAAAACTGCTACTTCAATATCTGTCTCAATGGGCAGTGTAGTCTGGCCCTTACTACTTACAGAACCACCCACAATTACTGTAAGAGAGCTCTGGGAATCACAAGGTGCATCTACGTGCAAACTGTCCAGGCCAAGGTTGAAAAGAAACAAACTGGATCTTATGAATTCACCAACCAAATTATGAACAGAGACAAAGCAGCTGTACCCAATATTATAAATGTCCTTGATCACAATCTCAGTAATATATTCATTTCAGCATAAGTCTCTAGACTTATCAAAAGCCTTAACCCTAAGAAAGCCACTGGCCAAGACAAAATTCCAGTGATTGTCCTTCAGAATATCAACCCAGAATTATCCCCAATCCTAGCGAAGTTATTCAACCGCTACTTGAAGGACTAATCCTTCACAAGTCTATAGAAGGAGGCAAATGTATGCCTGGTCTTCAAGAATGCAGACAAGTGATCCTCCCCTCTCCCAGTTTAGACCCATCAGTCTTCTCGGCATCATCAGTAAGCTTTTTGAGGCTTTAATTAACAAGTTCATTGCACCTAGATAGGAACAACCTCCTGTGCGATGAGCAGTATGGGTTTCAATCAGCCCAATCCACTGCTGATGTCCTAACTACCATTACACACAGATTTAGTGAGGCTATTGATGACACACACCTCAATGACCATAGCATTAGATCTCTTGAAGTTGTGGCACAAAGGTTTGCTACACAAGCTCTCCAGCTATGGAATTACTGGAAGGGTTTTCTCAATTATAAATTCCTTCCTAACAGAAAGCAGTTATTAACGATCAGTTCACCAAGGCCCTGGCAGTCAATGCAGGTGCTCACCCTCCATGAGTTACTTCTCAGACCAACCCTCTTTGGGATTTACATAAATGATCTGCCTAAGGATATACACAAATCATTTGTAAACATCTATGCTGATGATACGATATACAGGTGCAATTCTAAAACTCTTGACAAACAGATTGGCAGCTGACATCTCTTCCAATCTAGCACTAACTTCCCAGTTGGGGGGAAAAAACTGGCTGGTTACATACAATGCCTCAAAAACTAAATTACTAACATCCCATCAGACCATGAACTACTGTCACTCATAATGAATGGATGTCCCCTTGAGGAGGCACTGTGCCTTGAGAGAATATTGTACCTCAAACTCACACCCAACCTCAAGTGGAGTTCTTACATATGATCCATTGCTAAAGATGCAGGTAAAATGATCGGCTACCTGTACTGCTCCAGTAAGTACCTGACTCCTATCTACCTTTTTATAAGAGCCAGATCGGACTGAAAATGGAGTACTATTATCATATTTGGGTGGGAACAGCCCAGTCCTCACTGTCCATTCTTGATAGAGTTCAAAAGCATCTTTGTGTCCTTGTTGACAAATTATTTTCCACCCTGCAACTCTTCTCTCTCACAGGCAGCATGTAGCAAGAAAGCCTCTCACCATTCTCACTACTTCCATGGAAAGTGTGATGGCTTACCTCGGAGCTCGAAACGTGTGTGAACATGTCTTGCTTGCATGGTAAATCTGAAAAGAAATATGGCCGCTGTCGAAGACGCGATTTATACGCACCAGTCTCGTCCAAAACGAGATTGTACCAGTACACATGCAAATTTCAGCAGTGTCAGACTAGCATAAAAAGGCGAGGCGCCAGCGGCACAGCAGACGGCGAGTCATTCGGCAGACTTTGTGAAACAGTCGGACGTGCGAATAGACTGGCAGACCAAGAGGTGGTTGAAGTAGGCGCGTTTGATTTGGGTGTCCATTTCACAACTGCCCAGTGTAATGACCAAGAAAAGGAGTCTCGCAATTCATTTCTTTTAGGTGACCGACGGCAAAGAATAACAGCTGGTTTACTGGTGAACCCTCTCGTCACTTTTTTGTTTTTCTCCTTTTTCCTACAGAAAGTGTTTGGACAAACTACATTCCTTCGTTTCCACCAGGTCTAAACCTTCATGGCTAGGACCCACCATGCCACTTACATTGTAGCAAACCCCCACCAACATTCCCTCCATATTCCATCGGCAAGAAGTAAGTTCCACTCAAACAGCTTCTTCCCATGAACCACTGCTCTGTAGAACAAACTCCCAAGAGGATGTTACCCCCAATCACTTCCATCTTAACCTGTTCAAGTCTAAAGTTAACCATTATCTACCCCTCCTATCTATCTATCTATATATATATATATATATATATATATATATATATATATATATATATTATATATATATATAAACTACTCTTAATATAGCCCTCTACCTCAAGTGGCCCTCGGGCCTTATACAGGGTGAACATTACTGTAAAAAATTAATCAACATTTAACAATGCTTTCTGTTAATTAATGATGTGACAAAAAGAATAAGATCTTTGTCTCAAATTCAAAAGAAAAAAAGGTCATGATGTAACCAAAATTACTTTTTGTAGTAAGTAAATCTTATAGTGATACATTGTTCAAAGAGTCAAACTACTTGAAAGATAATGAAAATTACAAATGATTATTATTTGATATGTACTTGTTTGCTCCTACTGTACCCAATTTCAACTACTATTACTGCTACTTCTGTTAATGCTTGCTGTGATATGCAATGCTAAAAGTATTGGTGCTATCATTACTGCATATCATGATTATTACTTCATCAATCCAAATTAAGGAAAATATCAGAAACAATACTCTCGTTTTATCTATTGATCACAGAGAAGCAAGAATTTTTGCTGAACTTTTCAAAATGAGACTTGGTGTTGTGTAGCCCTATAAAAATATTTGGAAATCATCTGACATATTACACTCTCTTCAAAAATTATCTGCACTTATAAACTATGTGAATAACTAGTAATATGATTACTACTACTAATCTATATTATTAATTTTACTATTACTAGGAAGGTTATTCTTGCTACTACTCTTGCCAACCAGTACTCGTATTTGTACTACATATTTTTACTATGATTTATAAATCTATTTACAACTCTACAACTACTCCTTTTTCTTAACTACTGCAGCTCTACTTTTTACTAGCATATCTGCTGTGGTATCTTGGGCTTTTCTCCTGTTATCCCTTTTGCCACCACAATCATGCTGTCCATTGATTTAAGTGAAATTGCATCATACATTCTCACCAAGCTATCAAGACAACCTAAACATCATTAACTTTTGTCACTTTGCTGAACATTATCTAAAATGATCTTGCTTTTATTATAATAGAATAGTAATGTGGAAATAAATATCAACTGATATGAAAAGCTCTTTGTCAAATTTAAATTGCCATATTTCATATTGATGATATTCAAATAAATTTAAAAACTGATTACCTATATATTGAACCAAGTTTTGTGTACAATATTTTAGTTCATTTACTAGAAAATAAGTTCAACTTGCATAAAAAAGAAAAGGAAAACCAAGTTTCTATACTTGATTTTCCTTTTCTTTTTTATGCAAGTTGAACTTATAATAATAAATTTTAATCTGTTAATTTTAATTTGATTACTTGTCCAAAAACATAAGAATTTATGACAGATTAAATAACTAAGGTGAGTAACTTCTCTACCCACAATGCACCACTTCAAAATAAAAACTAATAAAAAAGAAATGTTAACCTCTTATAATTACTGTGATGCTCATCATTTTTATTGGGGGTTTTTTTGTGATTGTTTGTTTTTTCAACATTACAGTGATGAAAATTAAATTTATAAAATATTCAGACTCTGTATTCAAATAGTAAATTTCTAAATTTAACTTGCTTCAAAAATTGTTTAAATCTCCAAATATAAATGCAGGCTTGAATTTTCACTATTTTTAATTGGCACAGGTATTCACAATCTAGTCACACACACTGTTGTACAGCAATAAGTGAATGTTTCTAGTTAAATATTGAATAACCAACCAGTACATTTAGTTTACTAAGTTAAACTAATTTTTTACATTAACTTTATTGAACAAAATATTTACCATTTTGTCCCATCTTCTGTCACCTTCATTAAACATTTTATTTTTCTTGGCAAAGAAAAACTGATTTAGCTGCCTTTTACAGTCTTTCATACAATAATATATGTACCATATACATTCAGGATGTTGCTGATCATGGCTTTCCACAATTTCCTGTCTTTTGTAGCTTAATAAATTTTGTCCTTTTGTTATCTCTCCTAAACATTGTTCAACCATCCATTCACTAAAGCTCACTTGGTAGGTTATGCATTATTTTCTTCTGTCTCTCTTGCATTCAATCTGTCCCGTGAGTATCAAATTTTCTAAACCCTCTAAAAACTAGAATAAATGCTAACCAAAAGTTACCATATCTGATGAATATGGCAGATGAGTAAAAAATTCTCAGCTAAGTTAAAACAAATTTTGCTTGATAGCCCAAGAAAAATGATATGATTTTTGCATTATCCTGATGGAATATTGTTCTTTAACTAATTCCAAATATTTTTTGCTCATTGCTGCCTTCAATTGGTTTAATTGGGAGAGCTATTTATTGTTTGAATCAATCATTTCATTCTCCAGAAAGAGCTTATAGTAAAGAATTCCCTTTCAATTTCAATATACACACAGCAACATGTCTGAACATAGATCAGCTTTTTCATGCAGTAATTGTTTGTTTGTTTTTTTTTTTTTTTTTTTGTGCTAATCATCATGAATTCGTTTGTTTCTTTCACATTGGCAGATTCATTAGAAAATTACAAAATCAATTAGTATTTATATTCCTAATTATTCCATCTTTTAAAGTATACCAATGTACACTCATATGGTCATTGTTGTTGGCAGTTCCCTGTTTGGGGGATGGTCTGTTCAACTTCTCCTCAAACCTGATCTAATTGTTTAAGTGGAAGTCAGCACATTGAATCTACTCTTTGAGTATAGCTTGATAAACAAAGATGGCACCCAACCTTTTTTTTTTTTTTTTTTTCCCTAGAGTAGCACTCTTTTAGATGGACTATCTAGCAGGAGCTAAAAGGTTCTACTTGTCCTGCTGTTTGCCTGTAGCTGGTTTGGAGTAAGTAACCAAACTTATTGGGACAAATGAATTCATGCTTTTTCCTCAAAGCATTAGTAAATTAGAAACAAAATTCCTTTTACTAATTCCATTTTCCAAACTGATAACCATTATACAATCCCACACTTAATTCAACTGTAAAAGAGTGCCTGCTTTAGAGATTAACCCTATTTATAGGATTTTAACTAAATAAACAAATGTATATGAATCGGTGTGTTCTTGTAAGAAATCATAAAGAACTTTGCATAATTAAGATCTTTTTTAATTATTCCTTGATTCACATAATAACCAAGACATTGGTTTATATAAGAAGCCAAAGGGCATCTGTGATATAAACAATATAAAGATACATGCCTTGCTTAATTAGGGGTGATCTGAAATTTTCTTATTTATTTAATCCTTATTGGAAACTTGTAATTTTCTTTTTTATCATGAAAGTTCAACTTGTGAATTCCCCTTCCTATTGTTTTGATTTCATACTTTCTGTCCTAATTTTGTTTTTTCAAGTTATTCATGTATTTAGGCTGGAACTTTATCATAAAATTGTCATTAAACATTAAATTTTTACTTTTAAACTGTGTAAATATTAACATTGTGTTAGACTACAGGGGAAATCTATGATTTAAAAGATAAAAATGTTTACTCTTAGTTTTAATAATCATTTTTATTTTGTGTTTTTCCTATTGTATTTTCCAGGAACAATACAAACTGAAAGAGTCAGTATTTGGGAGTTTACCAACAATATCAAAAGAAGAATTTGATTCCTTCTACCACAGTACTGGCATTGATCTTGACAACAGACTTCATTTGATGGAACTTTATGCTAAATCCATGGAGGAAAGCATTCGGCGATTTGTGAACTTTGCTAAAACTATTCCTAGTTTCACAAACTTAACTTTGAGTGACCAAAGTAGTTTAATTAAAGGTAAGTTGTTTAAGAATTTAGTCTTAAATGTAATGTAAATGTAATTTTTCTTTTTCTTGTTTCATCAAAATATTTTGGCTTCTTGTTTTCCTGGTGCTTATAAAGATAAATTTTGATGCTAATTTGTGCATATTACTAAAGTTCTAAATTGTCAATACTGAATTCATTTAACCAGTTTCTCTATACTTAAAGTATCTTGGCCAATTAATAAAGATTCTATTTGGAGTCAATTTAATTCTAATGTAGCATGTAAACATCAATCTGTAAATTTGACTTTCTTATAAGATATCCTAATTGTGGTATGAGGAAAAACATTTGTAAAAATCTTCAAATGATCTCAGATAAATCTCTTTTCCTATGCTTTTTGACAAATGAATATAGAATTTTTTTCTTGGTAGTTACTTGTCCTACTGAAAAAAATGTATGTAGATTATAAAGATAAAATTACAATGCCAGCAGTCACTAGTCATGCTATTTCATGTTTATTAGTTATAGCTACCATCATATAGAGCAGATATGGGCAAACTGTGTCCCGCAGGCCACATTGGGTCCATTTGGCTTTCTAAATGGCACACCTAATTTCATGCAAAAAATAACATTTCTTAAAATTTGGTTGGTTTAATTTCATTCCTCACTTGTTCACTCACACACTCTCTCATGTATAACCATATACATAAACAATGATTAAGTGCAATATTTCTTGAATTTAGAAAATTTTGTTGAAGATAATGTTTTCATCATTTTAAACCATTGGCAAATTTCACTACGATCATCAATGT